CACACAAGTTAAAATCAGAACGACGAGCAAATAGCGAGAGGCGTCTGTTCCTCAACAGAGCCTCCAGAGAGATGACAGTCCGCGGCCTTTGTACTCCTCCCTCGGGAGATGTGCCGGAAGGGGCGGGGATTGGATGACGTCTCATCCAATCACCTCTTCGGATGTTGCGAGGGCGGGACGTCGGAGGAACTGCGCAGCTCATGGGTACACACACACACACAAACAGGTTTAACAGCCTTAACAGCCCCAGGAAGGCAGCGGCTGTAACAGAGATGGATTAGATTTTTTCATCTTGGTGTTTTCTCTATCGTGTGAGCTCCACACGTTCACTCAATACAGTGTTGTTTACATTCTGTGATGCGCGAGCTGATGACGTCAAGACGAGTTAACTTTTTTTTTTGTCAACTTTGTGGAAAAATGCGGGGATTATGCGGCCTTTTGAAAATCTGCGCCATTTTGCTGATTATGCGGTAAATTCTGCGATCGCAGAATCACGTTTTTCTGGAGGGTCTAATTAGAGATTTTCTCTCATAAATGTCAGATGAGCCAAAACTGTTCTTTCAAAACAAAGCTGCCAACTGGGGTGGCAGCAAATGCACCGCCACCCCTCGCCCTCCATGATCAAGAGGCTTCTCCGATTTTGTTGTCAATGTTTTGATATCCTAAGTAAACATTACGTTTGAATGATTTAGTGAGCTGGTGTTATTTTTTTCAAACCACACACCGCATGTTGGCTATTTCAGCACCACGCGCTGTCCACCTACTTATTGATCCACTATCAGCGTCAGTGCACCCCGCTGCCAGATTGTGCCTGTGCTGTGTGTCATTCACTCTCAACATGGATAAAAGTACAATAAGCATCCTTCAGGTGTAGGTACATTCTCTATTCTGACATTATAGCCTGTGTGCGCGACTGTCTGTCAGATATTGTAAAAAAATTCTAAATAATATTTTCTTTTTATTCTCAAAATAATTTTCCTGGCCGAAAATTATAATTGCTGCTGGGTCCTCTGTGCCATCATGCATCGGTTTAACATGTCAGACGCAGTGTCAGCGGAGTGTGTTAGCGTGTTAGCTTAGCATGCTAAAGTCATGCCCCTGTCATCATTGTTGAATCAACAAACGGAGGAGGCTCTGATGTCATGAGATACAGACAGCGGAAAATACTATTTGTAGAATTGGCATCCATCGATAATAAAGAGTAAGTTTACATTTAGCAACAACTAGCGCAATAAAAAGTCTTCATTTGATGTGGAAAATAACTTGCAAATATGGGAACTCTTGTGGTACACGCCATAAATATGCTACTCCAACAATTTTAGAAATGACCTTCCTGGATTACCAAATGAATGAATTAATTGATCAATCTGACTCTTATGACACCAGAGTCCACTCTCCTTCTCTCTCATCTGCTCGACCAGATGTTCTGCTCTACATGACCCTGAACACCCACCTATTGGTACTCTTCTTCAGGGTCTCGATGTCCAGCTTGCGGAACAGGAAGCCCTCGTGATGTGCAGTGTGCGTGGGCTGCAGGGGGACGCTCGGGCTGCTCTGGGCCGGAGCGGACCGGGACCTCCGGGTGGTCTCTCCCGCCTCTTTGGGTCGTGGTCGGCGCCGTGGTTTGGGTCTGTCCCGAGCTCGAGGTCGCTCCAGTGACTGTTTGGTTATTTTCTCTGGGACACCATTAGGCAGGCGGGCCACCTCTCCACGGGCCTGAAGGTGGGTGGAGTCAGTAAGAATTGGGCTCATGGTATTACATTTTTATCATCTAAAGCACATATGTAAGTCTGTTTTCAGGTCATCACAGATCACTCTAACCTGAGACTGTATATAAAGACGGAAGACGTGACAGCTCAAAATGTGAAGCCATTTTTGTAAAGTTGGAGTAAGTAGAGAAGCGTCGGCCATCTTTATGTACAGTCTATGCCTCTGTCAAATAACCAGATAGATTTATTTACCCAAAATCACATATACTCGTTATTACTCTACATAATCCAGTGCTTTTGTCTACAAAGCTCATTATACAGACTCACTCTTGAGGTACATGAGGAGATGTTGACCAGTTCAACATTTCAAAATTGTGTAAACTGGAGAAAAAAAAGTAAAGTAAGTTTGTTTAATTTATTTGCACTGTGTTTTACAAACCCTGCCTAAATGAGCCACACACCAATAAACACTTTAGTTATTAGCACACACACAACATAAGTCTCCTGACCTGTGCTGCTTCTCTCTCCTGCAGCTGCTCTACAATCTCTGCCATGGTGGATCTCTTTTCTCTGTAGAAAACAATGACAATTAGACAATACACATTTACAAAGAGGATATCCTACATTCATGAGTGATATATGTATGGTGCTAAACAGAAATATACACCGACTTCCAAATCCAATAAATGTATACAATGTTTTTCTTTTGAGTAGTGTATAACCTGCTCCTCTTGTCCACATATTAATATTAGCTACATAGTACATTAGACAAAACAAACTACAAACACAAAGTCTCACCCTCCTCCTGAGCGTCGGTCAGATTGCTCTCTGCCGGTGTCATGCTCGCTGGATTCTTGTCTGTCCAGCCGGTGTCGGTCCCTCTCTCTCCGCCGGCCTTCGTGGCCCCCGGGGGCCACGGGGCCCTCCTGCTCACTGGACGTTTGCCTCTCAAGCGTCTTCCTGTCCCGCCTCTCGGCCTGTTCCCTCCACAACTCCTGAGGCAGCTCGTCCCTGCGGGCCTGGATCAGCTGCTCGCTGGACAGCTGCCGCTCTATCCTGTGCTGACCGTGTGTGTGGACCTGAGGCTCAGCGTGGCCCAGCGGGTCAGTTCTGGACCCCCGGGGCCCTCTGGTGGGCTCGCTGTGCAGGCGCTCCCGGCCCGGCTCCGTAAGCACCACCTCGGCCATCACAGCCACCTCCGCTTTCTCCGTCCCTATCTCTCCCATCATTATCTCCCTCTCCCTCCCCCTTTCCCGCTCCCTCGCCCTCTCCAGCCGGCTGGCCACGAGCAGCGGCGTCACTGCGTCATCCAGGTGTTTGATTTTGGGTTGCCGTAGATACGCGGACGACTTCACCTCTGGAGATCTTGCCGCCTGTGATGGCTGGAGGTAACTCATCCCCTTTGTTGCTTGCTCTCTCGCCGGGCTGGGGCTCTCTCTCACCTGATTGGCTGAGACAAGCATGGCTGCCGTGGCAACCGAGGCGATGGAGAAAGGGGTGGGCTGGCCTAGTCCTGCAGCAAAACCCACCACGCTGCCCTGCCGCGCCTCCAGGCTTTGGCGGTAGCCGGAGCCGTTCATCACGGGGGTGTAATTAGCCACGGTGGACCCCAGCCGACGGGCCACAGATGAGGGGGAGGGTGTAGGTGTGGCGGGTGAGGGTGAGGGAGGAGAATTGGCTTCGTTCTGCTCATAGATGGTCTGTCTCATGATGGGGGAGAGCGGGAGGCGGGGGAGGGTGGATACATTTGCTGAGGCATCTTGGGGGTCCAGGAAGACTTTACGACCCAGCAGAGGGGTCGGGGGTAGCTGACTCTGCTCTGCTCTCAACTTTTCCACCTGGGGAAAGAAAACTGTTTTAAATCACATTTCAAGACTGATGAGTCACTAAGGGCTTTAACATGAGTGACTGATTTTGAGCAATTCTGTAAACATAGCTCTTCATAAGTATTTAGCCAATGATTTCAGTATATTGGATCTTACAACTTTTTCATTGGAAAAATGATGATGATGCTGATAATGATGGTGTTACCGTGGTGATTCGTCGCAGTGAGCTGAATCGCTCCTCCCAGGTGGCAGCAGCTTTGCGAAAGGCTTCATGCCGACGAATCAGCTGCTCCACCTCGTCTACGCTCGCCCCCAGCTCGTTGCTGCTGATGAGCGGCTCCTGAGCGGTCAGCCACGCCTCCGCCACCACAGCCTCCTGCGCAAACTGGTGAACCTCCAACACTGAGAGGGGGACACACAATAATGTTCAATAGCAGAAGCTTATATCAGCTATTTTCTCTTTTTTACATTTAGGTATTGTTGATATGTGTGTCTCTGTGTGTCTGTGAAAAACTGTAGGTCTGTTTATGTGTGTGTGTGTGTGTGTGTGTGTGTGTGTGTGTGTGTGTGTGTGTGTGTGTGTGTGTGTGTGCGCTTACATTGCTGTAGGGCATCCCAGTGGTTGTCCCACTTCTCAGACAGCTCGTATTGCTTGGTGATTACCTTGTCTAGCTTCTCCTTGATCTAAGAATCAAAATCAGTGACATTATAATTATAGCAAAACAGGGATCAGAGTAACAATGGTCAAAATATTACCAGACACCTTGTTCTGTATAAACATCACATAAGTGGAGGTTGTTGTTGTTGTGGTGGTGGAAGCAGTGTTTCATTTAAAATATCATTATAAACTGATGTTACCTCCTCAGCTGCCGGGTTTCTAGCAGCCAGCAGAGTTTTCCCCATCTCGATACACTCCAGAGTGCTGCGGCTGCGAGCCTCCACCTCACTCTTCAGACTCTGGTGATAGTTCATCAGCACCTCCACTGAGGACACGTCCCTGCAGGACACAGAACACACACACTTAGCTCACTGCCCCACAAACTTCAGCAAACAAACTGCCTGTTAATTACTTTCTACAAACAGCTTTTTATACCCACTTATAGAATACTTAGGTCCTACGATGTCAAATCCTATGTGTTAGAAACGTACGGTATGTTGTAGCTTGAAGGCATAACTGTAGTTTACTGTCTTGGTCAAGTTTGACACGTTTTATACCATACCATCTTCATTTAGAGTAGTTACTTAGGCTTTTCTCCTGTCCCTATCTGACAGATGATGGATTCCATCCAAGTGATCTGATCTCGGACCATGCTGAAGAACCTCAGCTTGTCGGTCTCGGTGGTAATCTGTACTCGGCACTCCTCGCAGGACGTAAGCAGCTCCTTCCAGCACTGCATCACTTCGTGCTCACGGAAGGCGATAGCTTCGGCCTTCTCCCCGGCATACACCGTCCTCAGCTGAGCCGCGCTCTCCTGCAGCTGACGCACCTGGCAGAGCGGGAGGGCAGATTTTAGGAAAACGCTAAGCTGAACGAGGAAGAAACTAAAATAAATACAAAAGAGTTTTTTTTCAAATGACGCACAAAACACAGCTGCTCTGACAGCTGTGTTTTGACAAAGAGCAGCTCTGATTTTGCATCGTTCTTCAGTAAAATATCCTACTGCTCTGTTCACCAGGTGCATGACAGGGACTAGACACTTTTAAATGAAATGCAGAGCAAGTACATTCAGACTCAGTCTCGTAAATAACCAAATGTACTTTCAATCCATTTCAGTTAATTTATGTAAAATAAAATAAATGTATATAAATGTATATTACAAATTCTTACAAAAACAGAAAGAACAAAATGATGCAAAGGAAAAACATCAGTTTAAAAACCATACAAACAAAATTTGAATTTCTATTTTACTGATTTTAAATAATCACTCCATGTTCGTTTGAATGTGAGGCACTCCTCGCTAAAGAAGGCATGCATGCTAAACAAACATCCGCTGTGTAATTACTTATAAACAATTGCTGAATTAGCATGAGAAAACGTTTTGTTGACCTTTACAGAATGAACATCATCACTGGGGCAGGTCTTTTAGGTATTGTAATTAAATTCTGCAACAGTTATGTCCCATGCTGTGTGTTCAGGTGCATGTTGCAGTACCTGTGTGACGAGCAGCTGTATGTCCTGCTCAAAGCTGTGCAGCAGTCTCTGCAGCGTGCTGGTGTTGGCAGCGCTGCCCTGCCGAGCCCGAACTTCAGGAAGCCTCCGATGTTTGTCCTCGATCTGGGCCAAAACCTGAACACAAAAGAACACAAGCAGTTCAGAAGGTGTCTTATATAAAAAAAAGTGTGGTTGAAGAAGGAAATCAGTTGAAAAAGTAGAATTGAGAAATCTGAGGTAGGCAATTTTGAACTATAGGGTTAGGGTAAAACCAAATCAATCTGCTCATTCTTACATTAAATGTCCTTTCTTGTTGTATAATTGTAACATATGATATTGTACAGTTTTACTCTACGGTTAATAACCCCCTATCTGTGTTTCTTCAGGCATCTTACCTCTCTGCAGTCAGAGAAGAACTTGTGCAGCTGGTGTGAGGCGGCGAGCATCTGCGCCCGGGTCTCCATCAGCTCCAGCAGATCGGCCCAGGCCTCGTTCACCCCGTCTTTCCACTCAGCGATGGTGGCGGCCTCCGCGTGGCCGTAGTCGATCAGCTCGTCCACCATCTGGTTGACGGCGGTCACTCGCTCCTGTCCCACGCTGCCCGTCTCTGACGCAAAGTCTGTGAACTTCTCCTGCAGGACCTGGAGGTTTAGTAGATAGTAGTACATTCTCCATATGCATTCAAGATGCTTTTTCAACATCTGACTTCTGTGACATCTACAGACACCATCCGTTCGTACACTTACCGTGACATGCTCGTAGTCTTGACCAAGTTCAGGGGAGCTGGCCACCACCTCCCTCTGAGCGATCCACTGCTCCAGCTCGTCCACCTCCCTGTTGAGCTGGTAGAGCCAGTACTGCTGCTCCAGGCGGCTCTTCCTCTCCTCCACCAGGTCCTTCAGAGACACGTACAGACGGTCGATCTGCGACTGACGCTTGCTGATCTGCTCGCTGAGGAAAACACAGGACAGTTTTTGCACTGTTAAATGACACAAAGATAACCGATAAGAAAGTATAAACAGTGCAGGAAGAGTCAAACAACCCATTGGGCTTATTTAAAGCCTCTACCTAAATAATGTTAAAAACCATAATTTAATATAAAACACAAAATCAATATACAATATATATATTACTTACATTCAATAAAAATGGCAAAAATCAAGAACATAAATTATACTTACAATTTTAAAAAAATCACACTGATGAGAATATGAAAACTACGCATTATACACTGGTGAAATGATTTTTCAGGTATTTTCTAAAAGCAATGTAGCAAGTACAGTTTTTTGTTATGATTGGAAGGCCATTCCAGATCATTGTTCTCCTCAAACAGATGAAAAATGTAGCTCTATGAGTGAGACACTGAGGGGGGTGGAGATTTGATGAGATTAGAGTTGCGTTAATATTAATCTGTGAATTATCTTGAAAGTATATTTTGAAGTATGTAGGAATCCCTTTACCTGAAATTATTTTTGTAAATAAAAACAAACATTTTCATAAACTGTAAGAATCTTCAGGGCGAGACTACCTTGTGATTGACAGGTTGCTACTACAGTGTCAAATGTGGGTGCTCTCCGTGCTCTCAGCCTAGAACTCTTCATGAAAAGGTGGTGGTGTTGCAATTGATGTAAAAATAAAATGTCATGCTACCATCCAATCATCTGTGTCTCTCAGCAGACAATTTGAACTACTTGCGCTGAAATTGGAACTTCTTAAGGGTCATTTTATCACTGTTGTAGGGTGCTATAGACCCCCTTCATTAAGCATTGAGGCTTTATCATCGCTGAGTCATCAGTTATCTTGCTTGGATTTTAATGAGATTTTAATTGCTGGAGACTTTAACTGGGACTGGTTGTCCTCTGTCTCCGATTTTAAATCAACCTGTGACTCTTTTAATCTTACGCAACTTATCAATAGCCCAACTCCTCCTAATCTTAAACACCAAGATAAATCGTCTCTTATCGACTTATTTTTNCTCTCTAGCCCCATTTCAGTCCCATGTTAAAAGCCAGGGCTATTATCTGTACAGGACAGCGCAAAACGAGAAGCAATTTAAAAGATAAGTCTGTTCAAATACAGATAATAGCCCTGGCTTTTAACATGGGACTGAAATGGGGCTAGAGAGGACGAGCCTCCCTTTGGGCAGGTCTAGCCAGAGGCTCTGGCCTTTGATTATGTTCTGGCCCGCCATCTAGTGGCTCAGACAAAAATTGTTCCAAGGCCGAACTTACTTACCAACCCCAGGTGTACAGCGTGCAACACCCTCTGTCCTCTGTCTGACCCTCTCAGTCACAAGGGAAAACTCCTAAAGAAACACCACGCCTAACAGGAAAATAAATTAGAAATTCAATTCATTCATTTATGGGACATGAGTGCATACAGATAAAGAGAAAAAGAGGTAGAACTAGGAAGGTAAAAGGTGAAAGTCTAACCCTTTAGCAGTATAAATAAGAGCTGGTTCAGAGCAAGCCTTAGCCAGCCCTAACTATAAGCCACATACTGATTTAGAATTGATTTGTGCATCAGGAACTGCAATGCAATGGTTATCATAATGTTTTATACAGTTGCACCTACCCATTTACAATCTGTGGTTGATTTAACCATGTCAAAGCTATTTTGTATGCTTGTAGTGGTTGGGTGTATTTCACAATTAAGCAATTACCTGATGAAGTAAAAAAACCCATGCAGGATTTTACCATATTACATGTTACTTGTTAGACGCTTTTATCCAAAGCGACTTACACACTCAATACTGTGGGCAATCCCCACAGGAGCAATTTGGGTTGAAGTGTCTCAGGGACACAACGACATGCTGACTGCAGTGGGGTTGGAACCTGTGACCCCCTGATCCGAACACCAACGCTCTATCCACTGCGCCACACGCCTCCCATATGACTTATTGATAGTGGCCCCAGGAGACCCTCCAGACTTAAAGTTACGTTCATAAAAGGCTATTTGATGTATGTCATCTATGATTATAAGGATCAGAAAGTAAAGACGACAGTTACATGCAGTAAAAGAGCAACCCACAGAGATCTCACCCTATGTGAAACATCATGCATGAAGCTTACGATGCCTTCAAATCTAACACAAGCCCGCAGAACAAAGACTGAGCAGCTGGCCATGAATGTCAGGGGGAGAGGTACATGGAGCTTTTGATGGAGTACGTACACTGCCTTGTGCCCAGTCTGGTAGTCTGCACACACATACACATACACACACACACACACACACACACACACACACACACACACACACACACACACACACACACACGCTCACTAACTGGCCTCCATAGATGACTGCCCTGCTTCCTCCAGAGACCCCAACAGCAAAGTGTTTCTCTGCACTGCCCTGTAGTGGCTGGGCTGACCACGCACAGCTAAAGCTCATCCCCTCCAGCTGTGATGAGTCCCACTCACGTGCCCACTCTTTGGATGAATGTCGCGTATGTACATGCCCTGTAATGTACATGGCAAGGTAATCCTGAATGGCTTCAATCTGGACAAGTGTGAATCTGCAAACAGCTCCTTGTCTGGCTTATTGTATATTCTCTCTTTTTGCCCTTTATTCAGTTGTGATTGGAGGAGAAGATCTACAACTTTTTCCTCCAATCAGCACTGAGAAGGAGAGGATGTACAGTCAGTTTGAGAGGAAGAGTTGAGGTTCAACCTGTCTCTGTTACATAGCTACATGACAAGGCACTGAGTATGTTTATGTGCACATTAATATTCTGGTGTTATTCAGGAGAACAACGTTTTACTTATAATAACTTAGGTACATGTGATTGGTGTGTACATCAAATAAAGATAAGTGTTAGAAAAAAAAAAAATACTTGTTTTGCAAAATTGCCAATTTCAGAATAGTGTTATTGGATTATAATTAGTGAATTTAACAATTGACTTCAATAGATTCTTATTTGTACTTTATTTATACCCTTGTTAATTCTATTTTGTATAATTGATCTCCAAAGTAACTAAATGTATCAAATACATCTAAGAAAATAAACAATATTTGCTTCTGAGATGTAGTGAAGAAGATTAGAATAGTTAGAATTATAGCATAAAATAAGTTTAAGTGACATAGCTCAAGATGGCGCTTAAGTAAAGTAAATGAGTAAATGGACTTGCTTTCTACCACTGACAGCAATCATTCAGTCAGAATAGGAAGACTTCTGCAGCCATGTTGCCAGGTTTTGTTTACTAAAGGACCAAAGATTTAACCACATTTCACTCACGATTGTCAACTATCGCCTGGGGAAGCCAAAAGTCACATAAAAAGAGCCTTGAACCTTGAACTTGAAAATATTGATGGAAAGAAAAAATGTTGAGTGTTTTGTATTCAGATGATGTTAAAAGGGTCCCTAAAAAGTGATATAGTGAAGGTAAACTACTAATTACATTTATCTTCATTCAACTATCTGATTCTTAAAGGCCGTATGTGAATGAATAGAACATTTGGTAAATGGTACATTTATTTATTTATTTTTGCAATAACTGCATGATAAATATATATTGTATTTATTTTAATTTGAATGAACATTGTTTAAGAGAGCCTGTGATCTAATATTCTTATTGCCAACAACTGCCTCTGTTATTTTTTATCATATAGCAGACAAAATATCATAAAATAAGTTAGATTAACTTAGACACCTTATCACATGCATCATTGTTCTTCTTCAGTCTAAATTCAGTTTCTGTAGGTTCTTTGAAATCGGGATATTAAGCTGCACACAGACAGCTTGCTCTGAGAAATATATATAATTGGGTGTGAGCTTATTAATTGGAAGGGCGTGTGCATGTAAACACGCTCAAAGAGATTAAAAGAAGCATGACTGACTTTAAGGTGTTAATGCCAAAATGCCATTTAACCAAACTCTCCCTCTCTTCTGCTCCCTCCTCGGTGCTCCTGGCTGCTCCTCTCCTCTCCTCCAAGGTAAGTCATATATAAGCCCACGCACAGAGACACACACAGTGTACGTAGCCCCCTCCCCATCCCTCCATCCCCCCACCTCCTCCTCCGTGCGTCCGTCTGTGCGTCCGTTGGTCTGTGTTTGTTCAGCAGTGTGTTTCCTCCTCCCTTCTTGGCGCCGGTCCATCCCGCCCACCTGTCTGCTCCGGTCAGGTGAGTGAGGTGTTAGCTTAGCAAGAGCCACTCTGCAGTTCTTCCTGACTCCTCCCATCTCCCCCCAACCACCACCTTCCCCGTACCTCCCCCTCCACCGCCCCCTCCTCCTCCTCCTCCTCCTCCACTCTCCCTCCCCTCACCCCTCCCGCCTTCCCACACCACAGCAGGTCTTGGGTCAACCTGTACTGCGTGCTGAAAGAAGGGGAGATGGGTTTCTACAAAGACGCCAAGAACATGGCCACGTCCTACAACAACGAGCCGCTGCTCAACCTGTCCCACTGCCACTGCGACGTCACCAACGGCTACAAGAAGAAGAAGAATGTCTTCACGCTCAAGTGAGGGGCTGCTACCATGTTGTACTCCTTCTCACCGGCGACATTTTAACCTGTTAAATTTTGTCGGCTGTGCTCTGTTTTTTTTACACGGCAGAAATGAATATAAGGGGATTCCTCTCCTGATTTTAGAAGTTCAACTTGAGCTCCTATAATAAGTCTACTATAAAGTGTGGTCTGGTCTAACTAAAATGTGCTAAGTCATTTAGTATTGGAAGAGTTACTGGTAAAGCCTGATTTTCAGCCACAGCTTGTTTTCTTTAATGCACTTCTGTTTCTCAATTTCATATTGTTCAGTGTTAATGCCAACTGTTACTTAAAAAGGAAATATTCTGCTTATGTTCTGCTTCATATTTGCATCTTGTGACTGAAACCAGAGCCCAGTCTGCTCTGATTGGTTAGCTGGCCGGCTCTGTTGTGATTTGTCAACCACTTAGAAATGTCCCGCCCCTTAGCCTATCAAATACAATGTGTTGAAGTGCTAGCCAATGGAATCGCGAGTGTTACACAGTGATGTCACTATGTTCCGGAAGTAAACAAAGGAGTCCAATGGAGGTGTTTCAGGCGTGGGAGAAAACCCCCCTCTTGAGGGAACTGAGGTTACCTACTGTAACCCCAGCATCTATGAGTAAATGGCGCAGCCCTCTAAGGCTATCGCTATTGGGTAATCCCCCTGCGCCCCCGCGCAGCACTGAAACACTTGTAGTCCACACCCACCCGCAAGGTGGGCCCCACCCTCAGGCCTCCTTCCGGTATAAATAGGAAGGTGCCGGTAATCTGCTCCCATACACCAAAAACTTTCTTCAAGCTATTCGTTTAGAAGCCAAGTGGGGCCAGCGGCTTAGAGGCTGGCCGCCATTTACTCATAGAAGCTGGGGTTCATTAGGTAAACCTCAGTTCTATTTCATTATGGGCTTCGCCCTCTAAGAGCTTTATCGCCTATGGGTTAGGGCGAAAGCATGATGTAGTCTGCGCCCCAACTGGGGTCCGCCCGGCACTAGAAGCACGACAACACTTGCTAAATACACCCATTGCCTGTCTGGTGCCCATGCGTAAATGGCGCATCACCGTCCCTGGAACATAGCCTAAAACATTCCTTCTCTTCCCGACGGGCCTGCAAGGCCGGGAACCAATACATACGGAGCTGTGACGACAAAGTATTAAGACACAAACACACGGAATATACCAACAACCACCTTGACAGCAGGAGCGATGCTCACCCTATAGCCGGGAAACACCAAAAAGGAAGCTCCTATGTCAGTGTCAGAACCCAGGTATAATAGGAAGAATCCCCATTGCGCACTCCAGAGTCTGGAAAACTGATCCCTGCGTCTAATACCTACTATTTTATACCAACGGCAACTTTCTTTTATACAAATTAAATAAACATCTACAATAATAAAGTGATAGTCAAGCGCGGAACAAAATCCCTCTCCTAAGAGGGATAAAACCAAGTAAACAATCCGCTCCGCGATAGGAA